AAAAAAAAAGATCTAGGTCAAATGGCTCACATGAATGGAAGATCAAAGACATATGAAGATCCCTCAAAGACTGGGGTAAAGTTCGCCAAGCTCAAGATGACTTCAACAGTAAATGGAATGAGTTTTTGAAAAAGAATCCTAGATTAATGTTGAGAATTGTTTGAATATTCATCATTTGGACATACCATCCATCCCAATGACATGTATCCAATTTATTTTCTTTCCCATTTACTTTGTACCAAAACAGATCTTCATTGATTATCTTTACCATAATTCACCTTGTGTTCTCTTATTGTTTCACTCCTAGAATAAATTGAGAAAATGCTTGATTGCATTGTATTTGTCAAGAATTGAAATGATAATAAATGAATGAATATGTGCTTAAAAGAGTCTTGCATTCATTTGAAAAGAAATCTAAGATGATGGTGGTAACAAAATGAAGAAATGGTAGAAACCTAAAAGAGATGATTTGAAAAGATATATGATGTGATCAAATGGAGAATATGATGGGGTAAATCTTGAAAAGTGGTATAACCAAGTGATGAGTACAAGGATGAATTGATCGATATGGCTTGCAAGTTTTGATTGAATGATTGAAAACAATCAGTGGATAAAGTTTATTTTGAAATGGTTAATGCTGAGACACCTATGAGTAATGACTAGTGATGGTGGATGAAACTTGTTTTGATATTTGTTAATGCTGAGAAGTCCATTGAATGATGGTCAAGTGATGATCGATTGATGAAACTTATTCCAAAGTATTGAGAAACTGAACAAGGGAGAATGTGAGATGGTAGGGTCTTGAGGATTATATTCCATAATTATTTAGGATTTCATGACATTATTAACATTGGCATTACATGCATCATGGTGGCATCATTGCTTGAATAGTACATGCACATAATTTGATGAATTAAACTTTGTTTGGACATGCATGACACTATGAGGATATAAGTTACCGCATTTGCATCATTAAGAAGGTATTTACATCTTTGGTCATAACATTCATTCATACAAATTGTTAAGTCACTTGAAAAAGAAATTGCGAATATTTTGATGAGAATTTTTGAGAACTCAAATGAGAATATTTGAGTTTCAAAATAAAAATCTTTGAGGAGTGAAACCCTAAAGTTCATCGAATGTGAATCTTCGAACAAATGAAAAGTTTTAAACTTTTAGATGTGAATCTCCAAAATACAAAGCTTCAACCTTTTGGATATGAATTTCTAATGTTTTAAATGAGAACCTTTGAACTTAGATGTGAAATTCTAAGTTTATTGCATGTGAGCCTTTGAACTCAAATGAGAAGCTTTGAATTTTTGGATGTGAATCTCCAAAATTCAAATGAAAAGCTTTAGATTTTTGGATATGAATTCCTAGTTTGCCAAATGAGAACCTTTGAAAAGCCTTGAACTTTTGGATGTGAGTCTCCAAAATTCCAATGAGGATCTTTGATGCGAGTCTTACAAGTTGCAAATGCAAATCTTGAGATCTTGCAAATTTGAACGAAACTGAAATCTTGAGAATCAAATTTCAGTAAATTCTTACGAAGTTGGAAGGTTCTTATGAATCTGAACCTATGAATATTGAATTCAAGTTGTGAATCTTTGAGTTCCCATTACAAAATTTCTTCAATCATGATCTTCAACTCCTTTGGACATGATTGTCAAGGAGCATTTTATTTTCCAAAGTCGTGGTGCCTCTGTTTAGAGGAGCAATTTATTTTTCAAAGTCGTGGTGCCTCTGTTTAAAGGAGCAATTTACCAATTTACTTTCTCAAAGTCATGGTGCCTCTGTTTAGAAAAGCAATTTACTTTTCAAAGTCGTGGTGCCTCTGTTTAGAGGAGCAATTTAATTTCCAAAGTCGTGGTGCCTCTGTTTAGTACCTCTGTTTAGAGGAGCAATTTACTTTCCAAAGTCGTGGTGCCTCTGTTTAGAGGAGCAATTTACTTTTCAAAAATCGTGGTGCCTCTGTTTAGAGGAGCAATTTATTTTTTTAAAGTTGTTGAGCCTCTGATTAGAGGAGCCATTTATGTTTCTCAAAGTCATTGAGCCTCTGCCTAGAGGAGCTTTGATCAAAAACAAAAAAACAAAAAAAGTAAAAAGGTCGAGTTGAGTTCTGATTGGGTGTCTACGTCTTTGCGTAATTTTGTTTCACAGAAAATGTGCAAAGAGGGGCAGCTGTAGACACCCAATTTGGTCCAGGTCCGGATCAGTTGGGCCTGGTCTAAATGGGTAAGCCCAATTTGGTTTTTATTTTGTATTTTTATTTTTATTTTTATTTTTTTTCTTTTGTATTTTATGTATTATTTATTTATTATTACTATATATTAATATATATATATATCTTTATTTATTTATTTTCCTTTTCTGTTAATATCTATATATGTATTTTATTTATCTAGTTATATATTTATTATTATAATTTATTTATTATTTTTTTACTTATCTTGTAGTATTTTTTATTTATCTTATTATTATTTTTAATTATCTATTTTTTTTCGTTTATCTGATTTTTTTTCGTTTATCAGATTTTTTTTTCTTTTTTTTGGGGCTGAGATTGAATTCTGTTGAAGAATCCTACCGAGAATGGGGATTCAATTAGAGTCTAGATTTGATTCAAAGATTGAATCCTTATCCAAAAAGGAGTAGGGATTGATCAGAAACTCTTCTGATCAATCCCTATAAATAGGTGTAGAACACAGAAGCAAAAGAGAGAAAAAACAGTAAGCAAAAGCTACTAATTTGAGAGAAAAGGGGCGTGTAAAAAATTTTTAAAGGCTAAGAAAAGATTTAGAAGTGTTCTGAGAATTAGCAGAAATTTTTTGGAGATTTTTTTTTGAGAATTTCTAAAAAATTCCATATTTCGATTGAAATTTTTCGATAAAAGTTACATTTTTTGGCGAAGATTCCGGCCAACTTTGAAGTTTTCGACGAGCTGCCCAGTTTCCGACGAAGGATCCCAGAAATCGACCAACTTTTTGGTGAACTTCCGACGAAAAACTCAGATTCCGATGAAATTTTTCATAATCTGGTGAACATTCAACCGAAGTTCTTCGACCGTTTTAGAGAGAAGCGAGAGAAAAAAAGGAAGAGAGAGAGAGGGGAGAAGGTTTCTATCGAAAAATAGAGGGAAGAGCCTTATATACCCTCCCAAAACGACGTCGTTTTTGCCTTAAGTGACCTAGAGGATCCGCGCGTTTTGCCGAGATCCAACCCGACTCGAGCGTCGACCCGCTTCCTGACCGGCACGTGTCTTCCCCCCTCCGAGCCGATAGTCGAGCCTAGCCGAGGTCCCAAGCTGCTTCTCCGAGCCGTTTCTCTTCCTTGAGCCGAGCTATACTCCGAGCCGCTCCAGGTTTTTTTTTTTTGAATTTATTTATTTATTTGTTTATTTATTTTTTTATTTATTAGATTAGGTTTATTTAATATTCTTTTTATCTTTATTTTATTTTTATTTTTGTTTTACTTTTCTTTATTTTTTTATTTTATTTTTATTTATTTTCACTTTTATTTTGTTTTATTATTCTATTTTCTTTAAATAAAAATAAAAAAAATTTTTTGGGAAAAGTTGAAAGTATCAATTTTTCTTGAAAATCAAAGTTTCTAAAGAATATTTTTGGGGAAAAGTTGAAAGTATCAATTTTCCTTAAAAATAAATTTAAAAAAAAAAGGTTTTTGAGGAAAAGTTGAGAGTATCAATTTTTCTTGAAAATAAAAGTTTTCAAAAAAATATTTTTGGAAAAAAATTGAAAGTATCAATTTTTCTTAAAAATAAATTTTCAAAAAATAAATTTTTGAGAAAAAGTTAAAAGTATCAATTTTTCTCGAAATTAAAGTTTCAAAAAAATATTTTTTTTAAAAAAGTTGAAAGTATAAATTTTTCCTGCACAAAAACAATCATTTTTTTCTTTTATTTTTTTTAATGTTAAATAATCCGACGATGGAGCCTCTGTAAGTGAAACAGAAGTTTTCTTGCATACTCCTGAGGTGAGAAAATTTTTTCAATTTTTTGCTAAAAGTATTAGAGTCAATTGAGAATAATTTTCAATAATTAATTACTTGATAAAATTTTAATGCTCATTAGATAACACAAATTTAAGTTGATACCATCTTTTGATGGGCATTGTGAGGGTGCTATAACCTTCCTCATACGTAATCGAACTCCCGAACTTTGTTCTGATTAGTAGACCTGAACCTATTCTTTTAGGGACCCTTAACCTTAGGTGTTCCCTGAAAGGACAGATTCTTTAGGTGGCCAATCGCACCTAGATCAAAAAAATTGGTGGCGACTCCCTTAAGTCAATGTCTAGCGATAGATCCCCAGATCTAGACGTTATGATAATGATAAATAACTTAAAATTAAGAAATATCTTACATATTATTATAATAAAATTTTAAGAATTTTTTTACTTGTCAAAAAAAGAAATCATCCACCTAAAAGTCTACATAAATAATTTTTAATATTTACCTTTATATGTTATAATATAATATATATATATATGTATATATTAAATTAGATATATTAGATGTGATTGAAATATTTGAATTAAATTAACCATCGCAATCCAACTGCATATTATTAATATTATTATTATTATTTTGGCACTAAAATGAGAGCAGGATGTGGATGAGAACAAACAAACACCGGTTGGCTCAGTAGGGCTGTGCTGGCTTGTTTGGAAGACCCTCTTAGAAAAAGAAATTAAGAAGAGATCCGTACTATTGCATTTGTAAAAATGTGATATAATTAGCCATGGAAGAATTAATTTTCAACCAGCTAGCCTTTTGTCATTTCAGTGGATTGCAGAGCCTGCAAGCAACTAGAGAATCGATACTTGTTGATTTATTGCAACAATCCTCTCCATAAGCAAAGGACAACATTCGTTCCTCAAAAAACTTTTTACGTTAGGAATAACAAACACTTGGAAATTCCTATATATATATATATATACCAACCTTAAAATTGCAATCCCATTGGATTTGAGAGAGTAGCTAGCTAGGGCAGACTATGCATCCCTTCTGTTTCGGGTTGAGTCAAGAAATGAATCCCTCAGAGTCAGAAATGATCAAAGTAGGGCCTGCTGGATCTCGTGCAGGAGAACCATGGGATGAGAAGGGTCTTTCTGAAATCACTGAAATATATATTTCCCATGGGGATGATACTATTAATTCTTTACAATTTCAGTATGTTGAAAATAGAACCCTAGTGTTGTCCGAGCAACACGGAGAGTCTGGGGGTCGATTCTTCAATGTTGTAAGTCTCTTTAAGCTTTTTCCTTCAAAAAGGCTATAGTTTTTTTTTCTTTTTAAATCCTTTATATCTTATGTTTGTACTACAAAACAGGTACATCTCAACCATCCATCAGAGTATATTACTGGGATAGCAGGCAATGTTAATTCCTATATCATCAGTGCACTTACAATTACTACGAATATAACAACATATGGACCCTTCGGCAGCCAAACGAAAGTTGCTGGATTTGACTTTCGACTTGGTAATTTACGTTTGTTTGGTGGATTTTATGGACACTTTTTAAGAAGGAATGATGGTACAGTATCTCTCAGCGCCATTGGAATTTATGTTAATCCCACCAGTAATCTGCCAACTTCTACCGAAGATAGAGTCAGAGGTGCCGCACTGCCACTTGGATCTGAGACTTCAAAATATTTAGGGTCATGGCCTGCAAAATGAATGGTTCAATAAAAGACATTTTCTGAAGAGTTTATCTTTAGATTTTATTTCTTATCAAGTTAATATGATGGTACCTTGCATTAGTCATACAGGCCAACATGGTTATTGGGTTAATGCAATCTTCTTAATGTAATTTTTTTTTTTTAATCATAGCCATGGTATTGATTTCTCAAACTAATTAATGCTGATATTGTTTGAGAGTTCTAAGCTTCTTTAATATGGTGGATTGGTATATACAATATTTTTTTGGCTAACTGATTCTCTCTTTCATGTGTGACTCGTTCCATTTGGTCGATCATTGAGAGTATGGATTCAAATCTTACCATATTTCATTTTTACTTGTTTAAATGATTGATTGTACGTTATGACTCAACAAGCTTTATCTTATCAAGCTGTATCACTTTTACATTGATGACCTATGATTAAACAAACGTAATTGAACACAATGGCTTTAAGGACATCGAGCTCACACTACTTGATCGTAAAGCTTCAGAGAGCAGAGCCTAAATTGAAAAGCTTGATAGAGTCATTGGCATAATGTAATGCTCCATTCTTGGTCTTGAGAGTTCATTGCATTATTGCAGTCTAATTCAAAAATATATAATGTAATGGACAAAAGACAATGTTCAAATCGTCCTTGCTGTCACTATCTTCCATAACTGAACCGGTGACGAATTTCTCGTCAGCTTTGGTGCTTTTGGAGCCATTGCTGGGTCTGTTGTCTTCTGGTTCAATGTACAATGCGCCCATAGCTGAGCTAGCTTGGACTTCAACTTCGTTGTATAAATCACCAAAATCATCATCCATGGAATCCTTTTTTTTTTTCTCTCTTTTTTACGTTAGACTCATTTCTGAGAATGGGACAAGCAAAAAATGCAGGTAAATGCAATATAAAGAAGCTGAAAAACTCTTTTAGGATATAAAACGCTACAGAAGCCATTACCAGGATTTAAAAGGTATTGAATTTGGGCCTTAAGGCAACTCTAGAGACTGTTGGTGACTCTACTATGGGCCAATTTCGTCAATCAGTGTTAATCGGTGGCCCTGGCATCAATTTGGGCTACTTTTGGCCCTTTTTAAACTGCCATTGTTAACCTGTTTGGATTTTTCAATGGCTTACTTTTTGCCCGTTCTTCGGCCCAATCAGCTTGGGAATATACATCGTTGATTGCTAAAAGGAGAGACCCAAGAAAATCTTGTAGAGAATCATTTTCCACTGCCAAATTGAAAAACAAAAATTGAAGAGTTGGATTGAATTATGAAGGTTGTTGGTCAATTTTTGAGCTAAAAATGAACTTAAAATTTTACTAATTGAGCTGTGGCTCAAAGCCTCAAATGGCATCTGGTGAAGAGATGGGTGCCTGAAAAAAATAATTACCAATTGAATAGTCCTTTGGATACACGCAGCAATAAAAAGTTGCAATTCTATGAATAAAAGCAGTTTTTTGTTTCCTCTGTCTGATATTCTATTGAGAAACTGGTTTGTACAAAGCAACTCTCTTCTTCTGAATGAAATAGAACACTGTTGCTGCCATAATCAAACTGCCAAAACCCAGTGCACCTGCCAAAGGGAATCAATAAGATTAGTAACGTTGTTAGCCATTGGAGTCGTTGGGTTATAGCCTATATATATTGCTTTCACTCTTCATTTTTCTTAAAATATTTGTGCTAAACACATATTCCGAAGATATGAATATTATGGGTGGAACCCTCCAAATATATGAAAAATACTTCAAAACTTGATTGGTCATAGCATTTGCAATGAGAAATGCTCACCTATAGCTGGGTAATTTGGTCCAAACTTGATTAAACTTTCACCTGTGATTAACACAACATAAACTAGGTGAAATATAAGAAGCTGGAAAGTGAAAACTAATCTTTGTTCTAATGGATGATTGCCAATTATGATATTTATTTAGCAAATTAAGGAAAGCTACAGCATATATACCATTGTGAAAACAACTGATTGAATGCTTTCCATCAGGGCAATGGCAGAAGAAATTCTTTTGCAGCTGATCATTACTGTATCCACAAAAGCCTCCAGTAGCTTCACATGATTGACAAGCAACATCTGTCTGCTCCCACTTTAACTCGAATCCTTCTTTCAAAGCTCCTGCCAAACCATTGCTTAAAACTCCATTGACTGCCTTTTCAATCACCGGGAAAGTGACTGTTGATTCGCAATAGGTATTCCAATCGAACTCTGGGATTGCTCCCTCAGTGAACACATATGAGTTCTTGGCATTGTATTGCAGGCATGCTATAGAAGGAAGTGAAGGAGGAAACAACGTACAATTATAAAAGAAACGTAACATCCTGTTGTGTAAAATACTATAGTTAAACAAAGACAAAGTAGGCAACATAAAATCTTGATACAACCTAGGACATGCTACATCTTTTGATCCAAAATGATCAACAACGAGAGAATTGTTGGAGTAATTTATTGTTCTAATGCTGTAGATATTGTTAGAGAGATAGAGCATTGGGTTTTGATCAATGCAGGAAACATTAAAGCCTGGATATCCACAATATTGCATCGACGACTGCTGGTTTTGATGCCAAAAGGGGTAGCCAATAGTGAAGCCATTGCCACAGTCAAATGAAAGGCATAAGGTATTTGATTTTTGCAAAGAATTGGCATTGATAAATGTATGAAAAAGGCTAATCAAGTGAAGAGAGAAGAGGAAGCTGCCTGGAGAAGCCATGAATTTGCAGGAAAATGCTGTCAATGGCAGTTGAGCATCGGCTGGGAGGTCCAATTTCTTCTATTGATTCCTGTATCATATTATATTTTGTATTTGGTAAGGTTCTTAAAATATGAAGATGGTCCAAAATTGATGTCAATGAAGTCAGTAGGAAGATACAATATATAAGTACTACATGATAATGAAATAATTAAAATATCAATCAACAATAATTTTTCTTTAAAAAAAAAGTATATTGGCTATTAATTATTGATATATCAGCGTAAACAAACTTAGAATTAATTTATAGCTCAAGATTTAAAACTCTTATCCCTGGCTTTTTAAGTTACTAACAGTCAATGAAATTACACACATTTCATTTACTAACAAAATTTTCCAAATCTACAGCAATGGTAATAACCAGAGACGGAAAATAAAACAAGATTTTGAAACCAGAAAGAAAAATGAAAAATGCAATAGATCGATAGACAAAGAAATAATTCACTATTATTATTAAAAGTTAAAAAATAATATATAATAAAAAGCTTATGATAATGTTTTGATTTCATTTATAAAATTTAAAATTTTCTTTTTTTTGATAGAATCAAAGTTAAAAACAAGAGGGTTATCTCATTTCCAAAGTTATGATAAATCGTTTACACTTAAAAAATTTATAAATCTTTTAAAATTTATTAAACTTATAAATCATCTATCAACAAATATAATGAAAATTCAAATTTAAATACTTTATTTTTAAATCTTAAATCTTAATCACTCGTGTCTACCTCTTTGTGCATAAAATTTAAAAATTTCAAGAACCATGAAATAATAATCCATATATGAAATAAGCCTAAGTGAAAAAGTAATTGAAGACTAGCTGAGAAGAAGAATGGACCGTACAAACTATCCCAGTTAGGCAGTTTTGTCGGCTCTTTGCGAGCCCAATTTCCACAAACCAAGGACAAGGACGAGTAAGCCCCCACACTGCCATCTCTCGTTTCCAATTTTGGTTCAAGAACCAGCGAAACTCCTTGTGAAACAAACCAACCTTGAGTTGTTCCATCGACTTGACATGTCCAAGGAAAACCGTGCATCCTCATATGTTTTCCTTGAATTTCTATTAGTCAACCATCAATTTTCGAGCAAAGCCAGACATTGAAATCTTGTGTCTATATGGACACATTATTGTCATGTCAAACGCGCGTTAGTGGTCGGTATGTCGTACCATGAAAGCAGGCTTGTGTTTGGTTCAATGGTTGGTAATGGCCTTAGCACCTGTATTTGCTGCATACGCATAGAAACTGGACTAGGCTGCGCATACTGCAGCTCCAACACGTGACATGGCATGGAGGTCCAAAAGGGAGACAGGATTTTTCTCCACAGTTGCTGGAGTGGACAATCAACAATGAAGGTTTGGTTTTAAAAAAAACTTCAATGATCAACAATCACACTTACTGTTTCGACCACAAAAAATTGTCACAATTACAGTGGTTTCTACTCTATGGTTGCCATTTTTTGGGTACTGTTTTTTTTTGGCTATCTTGATAGTATTTGATGGGAGAATATCTAAGAAGTAGCATCGAGTTTAGGGCGGCTTAGGTTCAGGATATAGACAGAATGCATGTATTTTAAGCCTGAATCTGACTTAAACCTGAAGCAATTCACGTGACCTTGATAACTAGCAAATTACTAATAAAGAAAACCTGATACAATTCTCCCTGTTAGAAGTATTCTTACCAGTCAATGCTCTATCTTTGTAATTAAGCTTGGGTAGGTTTAGTCATCTTTCTTGTTCAGCAGCCATGACTTTTAAGTATCTGCAGAACTTAAACGGCCTTCTCACATGGCTCCATAAACAGCTGAAGGAAAAAGAACAGATAATCTCTCCATTTATCTTCAATCCCTGGTTGACTTTAATATAAATGTTGTTTCAATTTTAACACAAAATAAGAAACTGAGAATATACCAAACAGAATGTGAACCTACCCTTTGGTGCGGTCTGAGAGTCTGCTGAAATTTTGCATTTAAGAGAAATGTCAGATTAGGGAAACATCATTTTATTTACTATATTTGTTTTAAGAGGAAAAAAATGAACTTTGAGCAGCTTTCACTGTTTATAAGATTCTGATTCTTCACAGTTTCACACCATCTCGGTGAAACTTGAAGGTAGTTTTCCTTTCACATTTTACATTTGGCTTAAAACCAGAGGAGATCGAGGTGTCTTCACATTGGCCTTCTCAGCGTTCGGGCTCCATCGTAATGTTAACTATTGAGAACAAAAATACCCATAGCACTCAAACTCTGCGAGAGGACAAGGAATGCACATCTAAGATTGGACTGTTGCCATGTTTGATGATAGGTATGGAGATGCACGTGCAAATGGTGTAGCTAAGAAGTTTGCTTTCTGTGTTCATGATGAATGATTCATTCCTTTATGTTGTTTTGTTTTTACAATAAGAAAAAATTATG